TATAAGTAATGTAGAGATGATTTAAAGTATATGGGAGGATATGCATAGATCATATGCAAATCCTCTATTATTATATGTGAGAAACTTGGGCATCCTCAAATCTGGGTATTCGTAGAGGTCCTATAACCAATACCCCCTGGATACTGAGGGGCAGCTGTATTTCATATTACTCTGTACACAAGAATATCTTTTAATTTATTAATATTGTAAACTTTGTTCCCCATCTGACATAGAAATTCAGGTCTTCCTTTGAAACGCTATTGAACTACGATCCATTTACAGTTGAACATAATGGCCTCGTACTCTTCACACTTCGGTGGAAACACGGAGAGGTGAACTTGATGCTGAGTGACAGAAAAGAGCACCATGAAAAGGAAGCGATAACAGACAGCGTAAGTTCCGAGAACTGCGATGAAGAAAAAGCAGAACACATGGACGTGAGGCGAAAGCATTGCTTAGCCTACGTTCTCCACACCTCAGGGACTACAGGGGTGCCGAAGGTCGTCAGAGTGCCTCATGAGTGTATAGTGCCAAATATCCAGCATTTCCGGTAAGCTCCATTCTTTTAATCCTTAGAACTTGAATTTTTTTTTTTTTCTTTTGGCTGGGGCTGGGTTTGAACCCGCCACCTCCAGCATACGGGACCAGCGCCCTACCCTTTTGAGCCACAGGTGCTGCCCAGAACTTGAATTTTAAAGGAAGAAAAATTTTAAGATACTTGTTTTTAACTCTAGTTCCTAAATTGATCGTCCTAAGTAATTGAGTCTCTTGTTTCAGCTCTAGTTGAACTTTAGTTCTTTTCCTGGCAGAAGTACCAGCTGGGGTATGAGAAAAAAGAGTCTGTTGGTCCTACTAGGAAGTGTCCAGGGCAGGGCTGAGGAAATAGAAGGAGAGCAGGAATTTAGCCCAGTAGGTGATAAAGAGCTATTAAGGGATTTGCATTGCATTAAATTCACTCTTGCAGGCTTGGTGCCCATAGCACAGTGGTTACAGTGCCAGCCGCATGCACCGAGCTTGGCGGGGTTGAACCCGGCAACTAAACAACAATGACAACTGCAACAAGAAAATAACTGGCTGTTGTGGTGGTGCCTATGGTCCCAGCTACTTGGGAGGCTGAGGCAAGAGAATCACATAAGCCCAAGAGTTTGAGGGTGCGGTGAGCTGTGACATCACAGCGCTCTACAGAGGGTGACATAATGAGACTCTGTCTTAAAAAAAAAAAAAGTATTCTACTTTTAGAATGATTAGCTTGTACCCTTGTAAGATAAACCAGAGAGGGCTCGGCGCCTATAGCTCAACCGGCTAAGGCGCCAGCCACGTACACCTAAGGTGGCAGGTTCGAATCCCCAGCCCGGACCTGCCAAACAACAATGAC